TGGTCCAGGACTGGTCCAGAACTGGTCCAGGACTGGTCCAGGACAGGAGACCATCTGCCTCGACTTTAGTCTTTATTTTCTTTAAATTAGCAGAAACTCAAGAAAGGCTGTATTCTCATGCTGCCTTATTCTCTCTCCTGCTGTGTGAACCCTATCATTCCCACCACTCTAACTATAAAATGTTATAAATATAAAATGTACATAAATGTATATAAAATGCTATAAATTGTAACTATTTAATGTTTTGTTTCTCATCTAATCAGTTTTYTTCTGTTTAAAATGAAGGACTCTCCAGAAAGAAAGATATTAGAAAACTAACGTAGTAAGTAACTTACTTTACGGACCAATGTAGACACAGGTTRGCAACATTTAGAGCAGTGGAGAGGCATTTCAAAATAAAGGATAACTGGTACACATCCCTGTGGTTGTTTGTCAGGGGGAATCCATTCAACAGAAACTGGGATTATAAAGGTGTTAAAACCCCGACATTTCCAAGACTTGGTATCTAAATATAATATTCATGAACATTATTTGTTTTATTTCAGGATTACGTCTGCTGTATGTTGGGCAGAGTCTCCCAGGGAGCAGAGCTGAGTGAGCAGCCAGTTTCCAACTGGTTACAAGTTGAGCCAACATGAAAGCTTGAGAGGAAGTTTTATTCATTCAGGACTTTACACCTGGTTGGGGAAAATTGGCACAATGTTGAGAAGGTTTATAAAAATATTAATCAGTCTTATATGCACGGGAGATTTTGTCACAGAGCATATTTGACACCAGTTTCAACTGTATTCGACACCAAATCAGACCATTATTGTTCATTTTGCTCCCTGGGGACTCTGGGTTCTTTCATCCATGTTGTTTGGGGATGTCTGGGTTCAGGATTTAAATGGAGTTCCTCTCCTTTTGGACCATGCAGTGCACGTATTTAATGATGATGAAAAATGATTGTGATGATTCTTCTATTAACTGTTTCCACTCTATAGAGGTCTACCAAGGTTGGCTTACGTCTTTACTGGCGACTCGAGGCCTGCAAAGCCCACCCCCTCCAGAACTGCATGGACAAGTCACCATAAAGGACACTCGTAGCCGTGCCTATGCCGCTGTCTGGGGTCATGATCTGTGGATTTACCCCAACAAGGACAGCTTCCTGTTGGGCATTGCCTCGTTTTCCATCCCCCTGAGCGTAGCCAGTGTGAAATCAAAGGGAAGGCAGTCATTTACTCTCATCACTCCATACAAGACCTTCAAGTACGCACCTGTTTCACCTGTTTCACCTGTTTCACCTGTCTAATAGAATGACATTCCCATCTGTAATTCTTCCTGTGTGACTCTGCCTTCTTCCTACAGTATATCTGTTGATTCAACCAAGGATCTGTCCATCTGGATGGACAGCCTGTCCTCCACTATCCAAAGTGCTCTGTCTTGTAGCCAGGTGGCACTGCGTCTCTGGGAGAATCCGTACAACAAAGTGTGTGGTGACTGTGGAGCCCCCAGGCCTGAGTGGGCTTCAGTCAACCTGCTGCTCGTCATCTGTCACAACTGTGCAAGTAAGTGACAGGTGCATGATGAGCTTATACTGCTAATTAGCTGTGTTGCTAAAAGACATGCTGCTTGCTCTCAGGTAAAGGTCCTTACATCATGACGTAATGCTGCTAACAGCTAACAGGTCTGTTGCTAACAGTGTCACTGACCTTCACTGGGTTTCTGTTCTCAGGTCAGCATCGAGCTCTGGGCAGCAAACTGTCGAAGGTATGCAGTCTGAGGATGGACAACAAGGCCTGGACTGAACCACTCATACAAGTGAGATGTAGGATAGGAGAAAGAATCCCTTGTACAACTTTAAGAACTGTTCCAGGTTGATACAGGAATCTTTTGATAACTTTACCTGTTGAATGATTGCTGATAATAAATGTAAGGTCAGTGGATGCATGTCAGTCTGTACCTCCACCACAGTGTTACTCACTGTTGATGTTTTATAGCAATATAACGTGAAACCTTTGCCACGTGGCACCCATGCACATGCCATGTGACCCTGCATGCACTGACCGTATAAACTGACCATACCACTCTGTATAAAGTGACCATACCACTCTGTATAAAGTGACCATACCACTCTGTATAAACTGACCATACCACTCTGTATAAACTGACCATACCACTCTGTATAAAC